ATCAACTCCCTCCGCAATCATGGATGACTCAATTTGGACAGGCATGCCAAATTCTGGATATGGTTTGGAGTGGGGCCTTCAGCTTCACCCTCATGGATGCACCAGCCGTGAGCTTTCTGGACTTTTCTGTGACTGATCTTAAGTGTATCCTGAAGAGCCTTGCTGCCAACCGGTGCTACCACACGGCTTGTCAGATGCCCAGGAAGGACATCCAGAAAGCTGCAGGGTTCCTGGACCTGTCCCTCACACTCTCAGCCAAAAAGAAGCTGGCCAGAATCCCCAATGAAGGGTTTTCCTTCCTTTGCTATTGGGAGAGTGCCCTTACAGGTTGTACACTGACTGGTGATCGTCTGGCTGCAGCTGGGTTGATCGACAATGCAAAATGCAGGTTCTGTGGCTCTGAGAAGGAGGATATTCGGCATCTGGTGGAGGAATGTACCGGTCTCCCTGCGGAGCTTGCCCAGCCTTCGGCGTCTCCCTTTTTCGGGCCGAATTTCCCGACCCTTGGAGTTGTTGAGATGTCTCATGACTCCATTAAGGATAGACTTCAGGTCTCCAACACGGCTGAGCTTCCAGTGAGCCCTTGGGTGCTACCGCTTCAACCAACCCAACATGTATGGACAGATGGATCTGTGCAGTTATCACACTATCCTTGGTTGACCGTAGCCTCCTATGCGGTTGTTGGTTGTGATGGGAGCCTGCTGGACTCTGGGAGAGTGAGGCACTGGCGGCTGTCTAGTTACAGTGCTGAACTATGGGCTGTGCTTGCAGCCTTTGCAATGGCTCATGGGCCCTTGGTCATCCATTCGGATTCGCTCACCATTGTCAACCAGTTCAATGAGCTACTGGGCACCAACCAAGTCCAGCATGCGTGGACACATTCAAATTGGTGGGGCTTTTTGTTGCACCTTATTCACCAAAGGGAGGCGCTTTTTGCTCCGCCGTTGCAGATGATTTGGTGCCCCGCGCATCTTTTGGAGCATGTTGCAAGTCATGACATCACTGATGACGACGCTCTTCAAGTTGGATCCACCCGGCAAGATATTGTTCTGAATAGGTGTGCAGACCAGTTTGCCAAACACTTTATTCATGGCCTCGCCAAAGGGATCAAGGCAGATCTTGCCGTACATGCGCCAGCTCTGGCTAGCCAAAGTTAACAAGTTTTGCACAAAGTCTGAAGGGGTCAGCCAAGGCTCCGCACGACCAGTTGTGGTGGCAGCCACCACCATGTCACCACGGGAACTCTGTCCTCGATGGGCATGGGACATCTCGCCTGAGCTTTACACCTGGGTCGTTCACAATGAGATTGATATGAGCTTCACACCCAAGCCCCAATTGTCCGAAGCCAACTTTCGGGTCTTCTTGAAGTTCACAAACTCTTTGAAGTGGCGCCTTGGTGAAGGCCTTGCAACTTCCGTGTTTGAACTGGCCGCATTTGCCTTTAAGACGGGCTGGCGCTTCGAACTACCGGAAGGGACACTGTGCACGTTCCAGGCATACGCAGCCTTGATCCGAGCTGCCTTCGCCTATTGTAAGGCTAAGCATATTGTCGTTGGGCCTCTCCACCTGGAGAAGAAGAACAAATGTAATGGCCGCACCTTCCCAAAAGGTGCTTTCGTAGGAGCCGAAGCTTTCGTCGATAATCCAACCCTTGAAATGTTGTGCCGGGCCTTTGAGAAGGGCGCGAAAGCATCGCCCTTCTCCTGGGCCATACCGTTTGACTTTGTCCTTTGACCGTGTATAGATGGAAAATGGCCAACGCTGCGGAAGCGAGTTGGCCGCCTCCGACCCTCGTCGCGGCATGTCAGACAAAAAAAATTAGGTACCACTACGGCCGCAATTAGGTACTATTGGACGCACCGAATTACGACCATAATGGTACCGAATTAAAAGCGAGCTTTCATTATCCTGTAGACCCCCGTACGTATCTCACTTACAGACCCCACATGGAATGACGCAGCACAAGGGCCGCATTGTTTAATCTTGCGATCACACATCCGCTTTTAGACAATGACCCTTGGATTTCCAGGGTGCAGGTGTAAAATGACAAACTTGACATCATCTATGACCCCTTTCCATGATACGTACGTAGAGCAAAAGCTTCAGTTTGCTTAAATCTGTTTCAAAAACACTGTCCCCAACCTGTCCTCTCGGGTGGTCTGAAACTGGTCTGAAGCCCTTTAGAAGTCCCATCGCAGCCTTCAACTTTGAGCCTCCCTCCCTCCCTCCCTCCCTCCCCTCATCTCAGATTCTTGAGCATTATACCATGATATATAGAACATTATACAACATCCGGGGATACGGATCGAAGAAGTCGAAGACCATGCGCATAGCGATGCGGTTGAGCGATTTAGAGCTCGAGGGAGAGCGATTTCATGGTCTAAGAAGGGTTGACGGGGAGAAAATAGAATAAGAAACCTCATTTAGAGTCTACCTGCTAGCCACATTTCTTAATTAATAGGTTATAGTTAAGAAATAATCTAGTCTACTCTAAAAAAGCGTCTTTCTTAACAGAGTCATCAGCCGTAGCTAAGGCATTACTCTACTAGTAGAAACAAGGCTTACCGGAGATGAGCTGGAGACGTCCAAGCACGGGACGCAAACCGTCCACAACATGTGAAACACCATGACGCAAACAAGTAGAAACACGTTCCCTGTCGGGATCCAGTCCTTCGGTTCCCTCCAGGGAACCGGCACGACTGGACCCTCCACAATACTTCCCTAGTCTCACCGTACCTGAGGTTCGGTACGACTGGATCCCCTTCTGGGCGCCTAGGACCCCGGCGACCGGCCCATCGATCCATCCGGATGCTCCACGACACCGGCGACCGGCGACCGACTCCGACGGCGCCCGACCGACCTCCGTGGACGGCGTACGGTACGCGGTCGGTACGTGGGCGGGGCGGGGGCTTGCGGCGGACTGGCGGACTGGCTCTGACGGAGTAGGTGAGTGTTCAAAACAGGGAATCCGAGTTGAGTAGGACCCCCAAGGTTGAGTAGGACCCCCAAGTGTTCAAAACTGAAGTGTTCTTTGGGGGATCAATAGAAGGACCCCCCCTGCTTCGCGTGGTTGAGAGATGGGGCTTAACCTTATATAGGGGGGCCTGGCATATGCCAAGATCCATCCATCGGTTTTGGGAGACAAGAAATACTTTCTAAAAACCACTCTCAACTGACGCGGTCCTCCCTGGGTGCATTTTGGTGTGAGCGCTACACTCTGAGCGCTGTACATGTGGGTGCTGGTCGTATGCAACGTTCAGGGAGCTGACAATCGGAACATCTCTGACGATCTCCAAGCACCATACAGCGAACTGGACTTCCTGGGTATGTCTATGAAATTCTATATGGACTTATTACTGTATTAAGGAGGTAAGTACAAGCTTTAGTATCACTATGACTATTACGCATTACTTGGACATTCAGCCAACTGGACTTGGATCTTCTTGTTTGTTGTAGTTTTAGAAATTTATTACCAGCACCACCCAAAGGGTAGTTTATAGACCCCCCTGAAGATGTATTTTCCATCTAATAACCACCCTTTGGGTGGTGCTGGTATATGTAAATTACTACTGTCTTGGGCTTGGTGAACTCAAGAACAAACTATATATATAGCCTAGGCATCCACTGCGATCTGCGGGCGATTGCTACGACGTTGGAGTCACGTTGGAGTCACGTGGGGATCTGCTAACCATCAAATCGATGATGGAGCTTGACTTAGCTTGGCTGCCCACACTGTTACTTTGCACAAGGGATCCCTTTCTTCTTCTGGGTACCCGGGTACCAAAAGCAAAGCAAAAACTGAGTGCTTGTCAAAGGAAGAGAACACACGTTTCCCTGAGTGATCTTGGATTACCTCAGTCCGTTTTGGTTCCCTTCTCAACCCGGCCGTTGTGTTGGGTGACCCAACTCCACTGACAAAGCCACTGACTCACCTTGTTGACAACAGCAGCATTGATTGTAGGTGTTCATTCATGTTGACTCCACGAGTCATTTATATTCCTAAAAGAGACCTTCCTAATGCTCCATGTGTACTAGAAAAATGTTACACGAATCAAAAACCAAACGGTTGCCCAATAAGTACTACGATGCCACAAAAAGTGCTCGCTTCATAAAAAAGTAGACGACCTTGGTCCTACAGGTTGGCCTTCTTTGCCTTAAGTTGGAGGTTGCTGGGGAAAGCGAGCCTTGGTCAACCCAATCCATCCCAACCCAGCGGTCAACACAACACACAGGCCCAAGAGGTTTGAACATCTAAGAGACTATGGAATCTTGTGGAGGAATCTTTCAACCTCTTTTGGGCACACGCACACACACACCAACACATCGGCAGCGACTTCTTCCTCAGCCTCGGGCACCTTCAGCAGCCGGGGCTCTCGGCTTGCTTGTGGACTTCCACATCATCGACTTAATTCCCCACGCACAAGAGATTTTATGTTTGAGACTTTCACTTGGTATTGAAGGAGCTCATAAAATTAATCAGCTCCCTTGCGCATAGGCACTGTCAAACTTTTTTGCAAACTCCCTCCGGTAGTAACCCAGGGATCTATCAATTGTCCTGGCAGCCGTCGTCCAAGGGTGACAACGTCGGCTGATCCTACAGGCATGGCCGATAAAATCTTCGTCCTGCCATGTCATAAACATGGTTGGACTCAGGGTTGCAGGGGCTCCAGTTTGGATCTGGTGCTGGATGTCGAGCCTGACATCAGAACACACGAGCCTGACATCAGAACACATCCCTTCTCAAACAGATGCCATGTTAAAACAAACTGTATTGCAAACAAAGGACACAAGGTGGGTCATCATGTGCAGTTTGGGACGGATTCTGTAGCCATACAGCTTTGCCCGAGCTGCCAAGCTCGCCAGGGTGGAATAGGCATCCTTACCAGACATGCGATCGATGGATACGATGACGTTACCCGTTACTGAACTTTCTAGGACCTTTTGCTGGGAATAAAAGAGGGGTTGTGGTAGACAGATACTGGATCAAAAAATGCAAATGCTCAAAGTCCAAGGTCCGTGAAGATAAAACCTTCAGAAACCAAGCCTTCGGCTGTACCGCGTGGGATCCAAACCCCATGATTGTAAATAGTGCGCCAGAAACGGTCAATAGCCAAACACGCAATGGTTAGCACCTCCAACATGTCTTTGTACTCCTCTTCCTGAGTTTCCACCCTCGCCGCTTTAGCAACTTAAGTTACGTAAGACACCCAAAACAGAAAGCGGTTGTCATGGATGCACTTAGAAAATCTTTGAAATGCCTTTGACCCAACCGAAGCTCGACCAAGGTCGGCGAAGTCCGTTGCACCTCCTCTGCGAGCCAGGCGCCAACGGCAGACGCGTCGTGCCCTTTTCCAAGCCCCCTGGGCCATCCATTCAACCTTGCTGCATCCAGCGAGCTGGGATTGCAAGAGACCCCTATAGCCGGCTAACCCCTAGAACAACACATATGTTACCTTTGTTGGAAGTTCTGGGCTTGAAGAGCGTGCATGCAAAAGCGATACGTAAAGTTTTGAACCTAGAAGCGAACCCTTCTTGAGCTTCAAGCTTCCATGACTGAAGTCTTCAATGGTTGTGTTCTTAGAGTGGGAATTGCAGTAAGCCAAGAAGTTGGCATAAGCATTCTGAAGGCAACGCTCAGTGGGACCGGAACCAAAGTGACCCATTCGGACTAGCATGAGAAGACTTGAAGCAAGAAAGTCTTTGCCGATACCATCAATCGCATAAGTATGCGCGCCATCTATACGCACATACCTGCAGCAATCTCCCAGTGGCAAACTCCTGAGTGGGCTCGGAGGTCCGCCCTTGAACGCATTCGGGTTGGTGGCAGTGACTGGCATAGATTTCATCTTCTTGACATCCCACCAATCCTTAGAGGCAAAGCATGCACGTGACAAATTGATAGGCTGAGAAAAAACACTAGTCAAACACACCCAACTAGAAACCCAGTGTCAATTCTCCAAAGAGTTTCTAGCATCGTGCAGCGGTGACATTTCTGCTTACAATTGAACCCACAGTTTAGCGCATAGGCGCTGCGCAGAAATGGCCAGTCCCCCTTCACACCCAGGCATATAAAGTGAATACGGTGGGTTTGTCCGGCCCATGTCACCTTACTTGCCACGAGACTTAACCTCGCACAAGGCTCATGCGATGAAGCGAAGCAGAACATGAGCAAAAGCTATTTAAAACATTGGTATTCAGTCTACCTAGGAACATCCACACCATCTTTCCACATCTTGTTCAGATCTTCCGCCAGCACTGACAGAAGCGTGTGAAAACTCTTGTGCGAATATGGTGCAGGGAGGCACGTGTAGAGAAGGCGGGTGCGCAAACTTGACCTCAGCACGGAGACGAGCAGTTGACCCAGGCGCCCTTGGGAGAATACAAGAGACCTCCCTGTCTTTCTCAAATAAAATATTGCTGTTCTACATGCAAGGTACCCTTGCATGTTTGTCTTTTTGCCCACAAGCGGCAGCAAGGTTTGAAGGGCCACCACCATAACCGGGTTATGAAGACGACCCCTACCCTCGTCCCCATGTATGGCCACCGGTATGCAAGACCCCAACTTGCTTTCTGGCATGTCTTTGTAGAGGGGGAAGTCACTGTCGATCTTCTTGTAGGCCGACCAAAAATGAAGCAGCTCGTTTTGAACTTGTGGCCACATGTCCATAGACCGGCCGCCCAAAAAGAAGTGCCCGCCATTTTTGAAGATTGTCTCCACCCAGTCTGGCATACGTAAGACAGGGTAGTGCACGAAAGCTGGTGCCAAGCGTTTCCGGGAGTATCGGACCCACAAAGGAACACGGCTAATTTTTACATCTAGTTTTCTTTTTTCCTTGGCAATCACCCGGTGCAACTTCTCGCAGGCATGGCCCGTGTAAGTAGCATTCTTGGCTGCGCTGCCACAGCTCGCCAGTCTCTGCAAAGATCGATCCACAACTCCTAGGAACCCCAAACAAAAGACAAGTTCAATCCCGCCGCACATACACAAACCGTTCACAGACCATGCATGCGCACCATATACTGTATACATATTCATGCAAGATGCCGTGCTTTTGTAGCTTCTGATGAGCAACGGCAGCCAAACGAGCGACACGCTCAGCGCTTTGAGCCTGGCAACAGCAGTACTGATGGGGGCCCAATTTGATGCTATTTGATGTTTCTGGATTTCTGAGCTCGAATGGGCGACCTTGTCATGCATTCGACTAAATGCTGGCAAGCAACCCCCATCTCAAACCCGCTGAGAAGCTCATCGGCCAGGTCGGACTCCAGGTCGGACTCGTCTGATGGCAAAAGAGGCTGTGGGAGTGAGCGGGGCAGGGGTTTGGGTCTCAGGCTGTCACAAGCAGAACTCCTCACAAAATCCCTGCCTTCAAACTTGCGTTTAGATTCATTGCGGCTCTCGAAGCACCCATCCCTGGATATACCTGCGGGCGAGGGTGAAAGCAATGAGATTTCCAATGCAGGCTGAGAGGACGTAAAAGGGATCGCACCAAAAGCAGCTGGTGTGATCCCTTTTGCGTCCATTCAACCTGTCTTGGTTGTGAACAAACCTCGAGGTTTGCCGCACAGATCCCATCACTTACCTGATCGTGTTTTTCAGATCTCTGGCAGGTCCATCCCGTACCCCATATTCAACTCCGCTGGCCCACGCAGAGTTGCCAAAGGAAACAAACATCAACTTCGGTGTAGCTAGCCATCGAAAAAATAGTTTTAATTCTGAGCTGTGCAGAGCTGTGCAGCTGCAGGCAACTCTGACTATGGTTGGGTGCGCGTAGCGATACCCCACATCTCTAATTGCAGCGTGGGAATTGGTTGCCCACACCAGCAAACTGGAAACAAATGGCAAACCTAGTCTTTCTTGACTGGTTTCCTTCCACCCTTCTTCGGGCGTGCTTTTGCACCGGACTTTGCCGCAGGCTTACTGGATGGCTTCATCGTCCTGGAGCCAAGGGTTGGGGAGTGGATTGAGGTTAAAATACGAATTAGGAGGATTGAGTTGATTGAGATAGCTATAGAACCTACTTATCATCACTATATATATAGGTGTGGAAACCTGGCGCATCCCAACCCCGCAGACACTGGTCCTGGCGCGAAGAACCAAATTATTGAGGGCAACATCGGTTTTGGTGCACTCTGCACATAGGCTCAAGATCTGCTTTTGTGTCTCAGGCCTCAAAGCCCATACGCAAACAGTTTCGCGTGTTGTTTGTGGGTGTATGTGATATTGGTGCCCCGGAAGGTGAACATATATGATCTAGAGCATGCTGGGGCGCTTCGCACTTCGAGTCACAGCGCATTCCCCCTGCAGATTCTCCAGCTTCTCGTAGATGGACTGCATATGGTTCACCTGGATCTGAATCTGCTTCGAATGCCTGGGCTCGAGGACAAACCAGGGTGCCATGGTAGGTGGATTGAACTTGAACTGGATATCTACAAGAACAGAACTGGGCAGCCAGCTCTGTCGCTTGGTGTGTTTTCAGGTTGGCCAATTTCTCCTGTATAGGGTGAGGGTGAAATCATGGAGACAATATGGCCGGTATTTATTTTGTTCAACGAACCATGTCCAGCTTTAAACTCAGTCCTGAACAGCGGTGACTGAATCAATCTTCCTTCCGCAGACTTCAATGAAGCTGGGTAGGACCGTGACGGCGTGTGAGTTCTCAGCAATTGTAGGGAAGACAAGCCTGGGCACTGGGACAGGACATGGGAGGTAAAGAGCGAGAGGGCCACAGAGATAGATTATATACCACGTATATACGATCTATAATATGCGCGCAAAAAGTTTCGATAGACGGGGTGGCCTGAGCAAAGGGTTTTCAACTCAAAAATTGGACATTTCAGGCCACCCTCAAAAAAGGACATCTCAGGCCACCATCTCAAGAGACTATTCCCTCACCCAAGTAGCTTGAACGATCCTGAGCTGGCAGCTGCCTGGTCCTCAGGCCTTATCCCTTCATTGGCCTGGTTGAACTTCAGGATCTCCAGGCGACTTCCGGGCATGTTTGATTCCATGAACCGACCATCAGGGTCCTTGGCGCTCACTTCAATTGGAGGGGTTCCTCTTATTTGAACGGTGGACAAAACTTTAGTGCATGCGGAGTTCCTCAACATCCATTCGACTGGTTTGTTCAACGTGTTCTGATTGTTGTTGATCATGATGAAATTCATCATCGAGAATTAACTTGGCCTCCTGTTCCCCATGCATCTCGTTCACCCGGGTGCATCATCCAGCAATGCGACTGAAAGGCCTAGGGTTCAAGTTCATTCAAGATATATAAGTGTTGGCAAGTGGGTCTTCAAACAAGAGCACGTCATATCACGTCATATATTCAGCCACTCTTTTTGGACCAAGCTTCCCAAACCACCTTATTGATAAACCACGAAAATCTATGGTGATGCTCGAGAAGAGATTGCGAAGGCTGTTCTACAATCCAAAGCAAGTTCATGGCAACAGCCACGATGAGTGCCAGGGTCATCCTAAGCTGCATATAGGAAGGTTTCCCCGGTTCCCCCAACATAGATGGCCATCATACACAACAAAACCATGAATATAGCCTAGATTCCGTGCAACCATCTTGTTTGCACTAGCTACAAACTCATAATGGATGTTCCCTAGGATGTTGATCAATGACCGGCCGCTTGTCGAACGGCAAGGTGTCGTCCAACTGCTGCAGACCGGCGCAAAGAGGCACAGCCCCCGTGGGGAGGCGCACATGATAGCATAGAGGGTGATCCTTGGGCCGATGCTGGCGTCGACAAACTATTGAGATCTTCTGTTGCCAGATGGGGTGGAGTATACTGGTTAACCATGTATCGAATGATATGTATATATAGCGAACATGTGTTCTTGAATGCGTGGCCGTCCATGGTGCAGGAAAGGTTCAGAAACCCAGAAACTGCGTTAAAGTCCATGGGCCCTGTATAGTCAGCATCGATGGAAGCCACCCTGTGGCCCAAACTGTGCCTCAATTCCAGTGCATCGATGCGGGTGTAAGTTGTGATGCTATCCATGCATGGTAGGTGGGTTTTGGGCTGATTGCAAATGGAGTGCCAATGCTTAGAAACACGCCCCTGTCCAGCAAACACTTCTACCAGGTTGTAGCCCTTGCCCCAATCGAGGCATGTGCGCCACGAAAGAAGGAGCACCTCTGTTGCAGGTTCCATGCACGCACGCATGCATGCGTATTCAATGTTTTGGGTTTCACGATTCGTCCGTGCATCTTGTTGAGCCCTGAACTATTGCCACCAAGACCTGCAGGGCGAGTGGCTTCAACAATTAACCTAAACTGGTCATGGACATGTGAAATCTGGTCCAAACCCAACCTTCGGAGCCTGGGCTTGAATCAAAATGGTCACCCATGAACGCTTCATCCTCTCCCGGAACAATAGGAAGACCCGTGCAAACCCTCAGAGCCAAAAAGCTTTTGTCGTGTATTGGGTTGGTTGACCATGGACAAGCTCCATGCATTTTGCACAGGGTCAAAACTAATTGCAAATAGTCCTCCAATAACTCAATCTATCGAGCGCTAACCCGAGATGGGATTGGCGCACCATTCAGGCAGGCGCGGACTCGCCAACCACTATTGGCTGGCCTTGGCATGAAGCACCTGCAGGCAGGAACGCGGGCTAGAACAAGTTGCATGCTGCCGGAGGGTCCGGCATGGGGTCAAAGATGGGATAGCGCAGTGTCTTCAAACCAAAAAATCGCATGGGCAGCAGGGCTTCCTTTTCAACCCTCCAACCCTAGAGGCCATATGCGATATGCACACGTGATATTAGAGCAGCACTATTGGCCATAGCTCATTGCACGTGTCCCACACCCCGAGAAAAAGGCCAGCCACACACACACACAGGAAATCATTCGGATCAACCAAAAGATCAGTTGGGAACTGATAACTGGTTGCTACAACATCTTGGCAGGCCCACTCAACTGCTAGTTGTTGCCACACTCACAGCGCATCCATGTATGGATCGCAAATCAGCTCATCACTTGCACTCTGCATATGCCTGAGATCAGGCGCAGCGACACCTACAAATCAAAACTACAAACGTGTGCACACCTGTTCAAATACTCCAATAACAAAAATGACGCGCGCTTTATTGTCATGTTGTAACTTATTGTCAAGTTACCTTCTTGCCGGCTGCTGCCGCATCCTCCGGGGATTTGCCGGCGTCAAGGGCTTGCTTGCGAGCCTTTTTGTAGGCGCATGACTTCCTTGAGAGGAGTGCTTTCTTGTCTTTGGTGCTTGGGGAAGCCTTGCTTGTTGGCTTGGCAATCGCGCGCGATCCCTTGCTTGGTGAAGCCGTTGTTTTGGCTTTCTTGGCGCTTCGGTTG